CATCAGGCTGGGGATTCTTGCCTAAAGACTCTGTAATTCTTTTCCTGATGGCCGAATTTGTTCAGTTTAATTTCTATAAATATTCTATGGTCATGGAGTAGGGTCTATTGAATCAACTTTATTACCCTTGTAACATCTTTCATATCTTTTTTCCGCTTTATCTGCAAATACTGAGTAAATTAACCACTTCCAATATTGCTAGGTTTTTATTTATCCAATTCTAGATTTTCATAAGTTTTTACTTCCTGTTGTTTGATATTGTAACCTTTCATATAAATGGTCAGAAGTCTTATAATTCTGATGTTGACTATATGTACACAGAAACCAAAATCAGAGAAAATCTCCTCTGCCCCAATTGTTCTTCTTTGAATTGTATGCTTCTAATACTATTAACCCTGCTTTGTGATTTTTGCTTATTTTTCTTTTGTTTCCTAATGTTAATTTTAACCTTCATAAATATTTTGGTCCATGATGTGCATCTTCTAGATAACACATAGTTGGGACTTTGCTCTTTGACTCAGTCAAAAAAAAGTCAGAGAGTGACATTCATTTACAATTTTACTGTCATGCACACACGTTTTGCTGTCTACTGTCTTTTCCAGTAAGCACTATATTTTCTTTCCTTTTCCCTGCACTCAGCAGAAAAATACACAACATTTATAGTTCTGAAATTGGTTACATTTATCTTTTTAAAGCTATTTTGAGGGGAGTACAATACTGAAAATAATAAAAATGGCACAATTTTATTTTCCACATTCAACAGTAACCCAATAAGAAGGGTCTTAGATTTTAGACTCCTATATCTTATTTTTCAAATTATTCAGATCACACATTTTCAAAGAACCGGCATGCGCACTTTGTACTTAACTACTCTGACAATATGAAGTACAGACTGTGTTTAAATTACTTAATTTCACTTATAGTCCTATTACCCTGAAACCTCACTGGTTCTTGGACTTATTACACTACAATCCCTTAATCATAATCCCAAAACCCATAAAACTCAAAAACTCACATTTTCCCCCTTAAATTTGATGCCAAAAATACTTTAGCAGTAACATCGGACCTGAACACATGTGAAGCTATCTGTAGTCTTAGCTGATCCCATTTAAGTGAATATATTCAGTGAAAAATGCCAATGATCTAACTAGGCATATTAAGAAATACAGAACATATGGACTATTATTACCATTCTAAAATGTGAAATATTATGAATTAAAACACAGCTAGTGCAGGTTAACATACTCTATTGCTATATAACATAACAATATACAACATAAACACATTTCCTAGAACTGTCTGCCGAGAGAGCCTAGACGCAATGATTAATGTGCACAACCAGCACCCAGACCTTTCTGATACCACTCTCTAATAAAAGGAACAGGGCTCCTTGGAGAAGTGGCAGATTCCAGGGCAAGCCAGGGATAATAAAATATTAGTCTGGTGGTACCAAAAAGGAAAGAAATATCCCCCCAAAACACCAGGATGGGGGCATGTCAAAAGGGTACAAGAATCCAACCAAAATAGCTCCCAGTGGAACAATTTGAGCAGCAAAATAAATACTGATAATATTGATTATAATATTGACTTTAATAACTTAAAGGATAAAATAAATATCCTTGTGTTCATACTGACATAAATGAATGAATAAATGGGAGAGAAGGGAAAGCTCTTCCTTATAGAATTCTAATAACTGTACAAGAAATGAGGAAAATAGAAAATCACTTTTAGAACACCACAGTAATACCACAGGCAAATCCACCCTTGATTGTTGAATTAGTGAGAGGTTGAAGAAACAAGGGATCCACATAGTGTATGGGAATGTATTAACTTTGTCCAAGGTGAGGTCTGGCCTTTAACACAGGTTCCTGGGAAGAAATCTCAATGTCCTTGGAATGTCCTGTCTACTTGGTGTGTCTCTGTTTACCTGGGGGCCCTGCGCAACTCCAAACAGTCTAACAATGTGACTTATGGTGGAGGCCTTGAGGCCCTTATAAACGACTGGATAGAAAGATTTGGGTAAACTCTTCCTGTTAGCAATACCTTGTGTATGCTGTCACATGGTGGAAGTCAGCACTGTCTACAATTCCAGGGAGAGGCCGACTGGAAGCATCATGCTAGGCACTCTCCTGGACCTTGCCTTATGAATGACCTTATTCCCTTGACTATTCTGTACCCTTTCAATACAATGAACCATAACCCTAAGTTCTGAGTCCTAGAAAATTTTTAAACGGAGACCCTCAAACTTGTAGTTTGGTGTCAGAAGTGAGGGTGTGATCTTACAGACTTCTAAGATTTACGCACCATTATAAAATATCTACCTTAAAATAAATATTTATTACAAAGGGGAAATAGTAACTTCACAATGGAGAAACCTGGAAGACAATACCTTAACCCAGTGATTAAGGTTATCCCCACCTGTAATAACATGTTGACTGCATGTACCTCAATACGACGCAATGAGAAGGGCACCGCACTCTGGCTCCAAAAGATCCATAACCTCAGTATAATCAAGAGAAAGCATCAGAGACCCAAACAGAAGTGACATTCCAGCCTAAGGGACCAGAACTCTTCAAAAGCATTATGAAAGTCAAGGAAGGGATGAGGAACAGACATGGACTGGAGGAAGCTAAGGAGTTGTGACAATCATATGCCACATGAGATCTAGACGGGATCTTAAAACAGAAAATACTCTAGTGGGAAACTGGTCAAATCCAAATAAAGCCTGCAGTCCACATAGGACAGTGGTCATGATCATGAATTAACTTTGGTAAATGCACCATGACTGTGGGAGGTAAGATGAAGGGAGGCTGGGTGAAGGGTATCAAAAGTGGAGGACAAAAATAGGTGACAATAAGTATGGAATACTGCCAATGAGGGAAGCATTTTTCTGCAACTCTAAAATTCTAGCAAAATAATATGTCAGGAAGGAAAAGCACAATTAGTCCAAGGGTTTTGTAAAAGAGATTGTGGGCCTATACTTATATTCCTCTCTCTCAGCTAGTTAACACTACACGAGGGCTTTTCCAGGATGATGTATGGGTGGCAAAATGTGAGCCTTCTCATAAGAAAATTCTTCTGCTACCTTCACATATGAAAGCTGAATACTTGGCAGGTTCCAGATTTCTATCTCCCATAAAAGTCTATAAATGTTTAAATCAATGCATTTTTCAAAACACTAACCGCTATTGGAAGATGCTAAGAAACCAGTTCATTATTTTGAAAACAGATAAACAGAAAGATTCAGATATTCATCCTGACTTTCCTGTATGAACTATACCTCATGGTAAAGAACTGACGAGAAGTTGCTCCTTACAGGAATATTCTAGCTAGTAATGAAAGGAATATTATCTTTCTGCAACCCCTAAGGAAGTAACAGATCCAGTCAGTGGTCATCAACAGCTACTAACTATACAGGACAGACCACCAGATGCCTAGACCCCCTGGAAGAGCCCCACACACCCCTAAGAATCAAATTTCAATCAAATTAAGCCTACAGATTTAATTTATAGGAAACATAGAAGACAGAGGAACCTGTTAAGCTACACCACAGTAATGTAATCAGCAAAAATCCACACTGGCCAGATTCTTCAACAAATACATGGGAGAGAGACGGAAGGAGAAATCTATAGATATAGGACTTAAGAAACATGTCAACCAGTAGTAATATATGAGCCTTATTTGGATTCTGATTCCAACAGTTATATAAAAAAAACATTTATGGGATTTGAGACAACGATCTTTGAACACTTGCTAGATACTGATATTAAGGAAATATTGTTAATTTTTAAAGAAGCAATAATAGTATAATTAGTATGTGGCTAAGTTGTTTCAGTGTTCTTATTGTCTGAGATAATGGAGAAATATTTATTTTAAAAAAGGTAATAAAAATATAAAACCATCTCTACAGATACCACTCCAAAACAATAGAATGGATATAACATGTATTATATAACTGACTGTAGTATTTTTTTTTCCTTCAAGCTGAGATTACCTATCAGGTTAAATAAAGGCATCTGGTTTCCTTCATTAACTTTACCTAATATGTGCTGAATTCTTTCATTCTATAGATTTCCACCATTATCACCACTGCCACACTTTTATTATCTCTACAAGTCCTATTTGTGCACTCTGTGAACTATGAGAGGTAACCCTTCTTCAGTCACAAGGAAATGACACGTACATCCCTTCCAGCACAAATATTTGCTTTAAGATCAAAAGAAAATAGGGAGTTATTATTTTAAAGAAAAAAAACCATATTATTAAGGACATATAAAATTACATTACTAACCCTACACGTCCCAATACTCTACATTTTAGATAAATATAAAAAACAAATGAAATATAGAAAATAATATATTAAAAGAATTCACTGTTACTTTTACAAAAGAATTTTCCAGTTTCCTTTAAGCACTGCGGCCCACTATTCTGTTTTCAGGATGGGCAAATGGACAGACACATGAGGCCACAAACTAGCAGGTCTTGTTGGATCCTTTTAGTGTTTTTTAGAAATTCAAAAGTTACTGACATTTTAAAATTCGAAGACTTCAACATAACTCTAAACTAGGTATCCATGCCATATGCCACCCAGGAGCTGGCTCTGGGGACAGCAGTAACCCGGTCCCCAGGATCTTACCAATGCCAAGGTTAAGGGCCAGTGGCCATTTAGCATCAGGTGCCCACGTCTACTTTTCTGACACCTGGTCTTTGTTCTTTGCCTTGTAGTATACCAGGTAACAGATACTGGCATTTGCAACAACTAACTTCCAAGCAGCTTTTTTAGGTAAATAAAACATATCCATAATAATGCTGGGAAGTTTGCTAGTAACTTATTTTTCCTTAAAATCACAGAAAACTAAGGAGTTGATGAAAGGGCGTTTTGAACATATAAGTAACACAACACAGAAACATCTATTCTCTGTTTCTTCTGTCCTTAATTAAGTCCCAAGGTGACTCTTAGAACCCTCACTCCCCCAGCACTGCAGCACACACAGCCTCACCTGAGTTGTTCCCAGTTCCTTTCTGCTTTTTTTTCTTGGCTAGTTGAATGGCTTGGGAATCAGTTCTTGCTGAGCCCCCACTTTCCTGAGATCAAAGAAAAGTGTGTCAGTCACTTGACCCAAACAGCAAAGGGAGCGCAGCAAGGGATCTACTGAAACATGGTAAGTCTGCTTCCTGAACAGAGTGGAGTCCAATACTCTTTGAGAATCTCCAGCAAAGGTTCACAGGGAATCAAATGCTACATCCAGTTACAGTGACAGTTAAACAAAATCAGAGTTGGAACAATATACATAATTTTATTATCCAGAGAAGCAAAAGTTATTCCTCCAAAGTCTAAAACATTAAAATATTTTATACAGAAACTGTTATAAAATGAAATACATACTTCTCTGCTGTCTGAAACAAATAACCAGCCTTCCCTCAGTGATTCAGGATTGATTTACTGCAGCACTTCCCAATATTTTTCAGAGCATGCCACATTAATATTTGTATGGCAGACCCGGGGTTGTCCTAAATCATATATCCACTACAGAGACCACTCTGGCAGCAGGTGCTTGACTCAAAGTCTTACAGACCAAAACAAGAATTGTGTTACTGAATTCAGGAAGTTTACTGAGGGAGCCAAACAGTATTTAAATAGGATTTCAACTGTTGTAAATTTGTGAATGTTTATTAAGAAAAATTTAATACTTATCACTACAAAAAGCATAGAACCCTCAACAGCTCATGGCATACCTGTAACCCATTCACCACGCACCATCTGTGCTCAGAGAATCGAGGCAGCCCAACGTCACATAGCTAGCGAGAAAATGAACAAGTGGTCAGGATCAAGGTCATGGCTGGCAGCTCCTCCTGTCTCCACCCACAGTTAGTCCTGATGGCACAGTGGCACCAGAGAACTACTGTTTCCCAAGGCCCTGAGGCCCTACACTCAGGTACTGCCTCCCCACTAATCTATGAGCCTCTCCATCTCCCCTCCTGGCCTAGGCACCTGCACACCTTGACGAGATGCCAAAAGAGGCTCAACAGAGACTGAGCTTCTCTGACTAAAAGACATAAAACCTGGCTCCATGGTAAAATGGGTTACCACGTCCTTCACAATTGATCCTAATTAAAAGGATTAAACTTTTTTAAAAAATTGTGGTAAAATAAGATTTAGCATTTGGACAATATAGATTCACCATCAAATTTAACTTGTACCACAAAGAAAACAACCTTTTTGATAATTCCCATCTGAGCCTGAGGAAAAACTGATACTCTCTCCCAAGAATCATTAAATTATTATTATTTTTATTATTTTCTTAGGCGAGGCAACTCTTGGTTGACCTCACAGATTGCAAGGACCTTGTCAGCTTACAATCCCTTATTTTTTATTTTTTACCCCTACAGCACCTGGTCTTCCTAGGTGGTCTCTCATCCAAGTACTAACCATGCCCAACCCTGCTTAGCTTCCAAGATCAGACGAGATTACACACGTTCAGGGTAGCATGGCTGTAGACTAAATTATTTTTAAATTAAATTATATTAAATGTATAACAAACATAAAGTATATTAACTGTCAAGCCTCAAAATTGGAGAAGTACTCATAACCCTCCAAAAACAAAGGCTCACAAATCACTCTCCTTAATTCTAATATTTTTTAAAAGTTTTACATGGTTTTAAAGTTTCCATTCAACCTTTAAAGACAGCTAATGTCACAATTCACCTTCCTCTGGTTATCAGTAAATCTAAAGACTTATTATGAGAAAAGCACGAAGGCAGAAGAACATTTCAACATTATGAAATACTCCCAACTTTTTTCAAGAAAAGAAACACATTATCTCGCAATCACAGAACTCAAAGGAGCTTAGAAATCATGTAGCCAAATCCCCTCATTTTAAAAATAAATGAGAATTTAAGGCTCAGACAGGTTAAGTGATTTGCTAAAGGTTGTAAAAACTAGTTGGTTCCAGATTGCAAGGACCTTGTCAGCTTACAATCCCTTATTTTTTATTTTTTACCCCTACAGCACCTGGTCTTCCTAGGTGGTCTCTCATCCAAGTACTAACCATGCCCAACCCTGCTTAGCTTCCAAGATCAGACGAGATTACACACGTTCAGGGTAGCATGGCTGTAGACTAAATTATTTTTAAATTAAATTATATTAAATGTATAACAAACATAAAGTATATTAACTGTCAAGCCTCAAAATTGGAGAAGTACTCATAACCCTCCAAAAACAAAGGCTCACAAATCACTCTCCTTAATTCTAATATTTTTTAAAAGTTTTACATGGTTTTAAAGTTTCCATTCAACCTTTAAAGACAGCTAATGTCACAATTCACCTTCCTCTGGTTATCAGTAAATCTAAAGACTTATTATGAGAAAAGCACGAAGGCAGAAGAACATTTCAACATTATGAAATACTCCCAACTTTTTTCAAGAAAAGAAACACATTATCTCGCAATCACAGAACTCAAAGGAGCTTAGAAATCATGTAGCCAAATCCCCTCATTTTAAAAATAAATGAGAATTTAAGGCTCAGACAGGTTAAGTGATTTGCTAAAGGTTGTAAAAACTAGTTGGTTCCAGACTCAAGATCAGAATTCAGATTTCCAGACTTGTAGTTCAGGGTGCCATCCTTTCACAAACCAGTAAAAACTGTCTGCACATTAATCATTAATCCAGAACATCCTCAATATTGAGTGTAAGTGAGCTATGTATGTGGTGGTGACTGAATATAGCACTTCATACCAAATAGAAGTTGCCGGTCCCTGAACTGAGCCCTGTGTCTTTCTGAGGACTGTGCTTTTCTGGAGGGCTGGGAAACACAAGCTGGGGTACCCCTCTGCTTCGTTCTTGCTGCCTGACAGCATCAGGGCCAGGAGGTGAGTCTGGTTCCATTTTGATTGGAGCCAGCAGTTCGAGGACACTGGTGTTTCCCTGGGGGGTGCTTGAAGAGGTTGGTGTGGTGGTGTTTACTGCTAAATTGTTAGAGGTCGAAGCCTGTGGGTCCTGGCTCAAGTTCTTCATAGGCAGAGCTACCAGACAGCCTAATGCTCCTGAACTTATCGTCTGTACATTATCCATATTGAAGCTGCTTTGCTGAAGAACTGTGGCCGCTGTCCCGTGAACAGGGCTGTCCAGGCTTGGAGGAATGTCACTGTGGGTCACCATGACCAGTGGGTCCATCAACCCTAAGGAACCATTATTAGCAGGAAGGTTCCCTCCGAGAGAGGAGCTCACAGAAGTCACGTCAACAGTCAGGATTCCAGAGGTCAGTGCCTCATCTGAGGCCCCCACCACACTACTACCATCAGCAGGCGCATCAGAGAAGAGTGCTGCCAGGTCTATGTTGTTGAGCTCACTTTGGCCTGGGCTACTGAGCTCACTGCTGAGTGGAAGAGAACTTGGATCTCCTAGCTGAGGGAAAAGATCTGAAAAAGAAATGAACACTTCAGTTATTTAAAACCCTTAGAAGACTAGGAAGTTGTATTTGTGCTCAAGATGTTAGCATATGACCCACTAAGGCAATATCTACAAACTTCTTCCTCCTCTTGCTGCCTGGCACAATGAAGGTGGCCACATGAAGGCAGTGTGATGACATGTCAGGCATTTTACATATGTTGTCTCAAATCCTCGACCTGACAGAAATTTCTCCAAATGAAGGAAATGACCTGAGTCTAAATAACATTTTCTAAGGTCACATTAATAATAGGACTTGAGTTCATGTCTTTCTGGCTTCAAACCTGTACTCTTTCTGCTATATCACAATAGCTAACCCTGAGAAGGCTGTAAAACTTTCCATGGCACACAAATCTTCAGAAGTCAGACACAAGCTAAAATCTGGTTCTGGAGATATTTTTGAAATCAGCTTGTGTCAGCTCACATCTCATCAAACTCTCTGCCCCACTTCACAAATAGGTGCCATTTCAAAACAGATTTGAGTCATCTGGGGGTGATTAGTGGGAAAAATTTGGCCTGTGGGCCCCAGCTCCACGAAGCTGCAAAGAACTCATGAGTTCTGGTGCCCCAGGCACTCTGGAGATGGGCTCCCCTCTATCCACCACGATTGTATTCTCAACTTCTAAAACTCCCAATCACCCCAGGCTATGATCATCTTGAGGGTCCAGGGTTTGTCTGACCATCTTTGTCCTTCAGCACCAGGCAGTGACTGGCCCGTAAGCAGCATTTAATGATTATAGTAAAAACAACAGATCCCTATTCATTCAGTCTTAATTATTGGTCTTAATACTTTTCAACTATTTGACTATCTGTTATCCAATTAAGTAACTTAAATAATCAGAACACCCTTAGGAGAATCAAAAACAACATATTTTTAAAAAAATTTAATGAATATTCAAGCTGGGGATTTATACACAAGTATATCCAATCATCTCAAATCCTAGGACTCTTCAAGCACCAAGTAGGGCAATGGGAATATAAAAGATTTGGGCAAAGAGCCAAACAAAGACCTGACGTTATTCTGTCTCAAGAAATTCCTACCTGCAGCTTCTAGAATGTGTCAGTCCCCAGCCAGAGGAAAAGGCTCTCAGTTCCCTGGCTCTATTTCTCCTACACCAACTGTTAGCTAATCCCAAACTCACACTTTGCAGTTGTAGACACCAGGTCAGAGTGCTATTATATTTTTCATGCAAAGCTATGAAAGAAATCTACAGGTGTTTTGGAGTGAATGTAGAGACTGCTAGACCCACCCAAAAATGAATTCAAAACTAACCAAATTCAGAACATATTTTCTTGAGTTGTCATATTAGTTCAAAATTTAAAAACAGGATCAATATATTATATTATTGCTTCTTTCATTATCTTAGTACCAAGGAAACATTTTGAAAGAAATGACTGGTTGTTAGAGAAATTAAAAATGAAAAACTATCTCTTTTTCAAAACTTTCTAAAAATTCTCTTGACAATCTTGAGGGCTCAGCTCCCCAAGAAAAGATTAACAATAATAACCTCAATGCAAACAGACACCAATTTGTTTATGCATTTCCTATTTAGTACTTCATTAATTCCACAGATATTTACTGGGGACCTTCTATGTACAAGGGCCAGGTATTCAAAAATCAGTAAGCAAACATTAATTAATAGAGCATCTAGCATAAGGTTACAATCATGACCTCACTCCAGCCCTTCCTTGCCTCTATGACCTGAGGCAAATTATTCTCCTTTCCACCTCAGCTTTTTCGTCAGTGACAGAGTGGTGAGGACCCCCTCATCCCAGGACCACAGGGAGGAGGAACTCAGACAATCCAGGTCCTGGCACAACCTCTGGCAAAGTTGATCCACAATAAATGGACGTTCCCAATCACCTATTTCTCATGAGGCAAGCACAGAGTCAACATATGGTCATCTATCCCTAACAGGTGGCAAGAAAGAATGATGTCACATCATAAATGCAGAGCCTGGGAAACACAGGTACTACAGAAGCACCTGAGAGGCTCTCATAGCCAAAAAAATAAATGGTGCCGTTGCCGACTTTTGAATGAGCCAGGCTAGGAAAGGGGAAGTAGCAGAGAGGCCAGGTATCACAGAGCAGTAGCTCAGAGCTGGGCAAAAGTGGGTAGAGACAAAGGTAGAAACCCAATTGATCACTGAGAGTCTCTGAATACCAGTATAAGGTGCCTGACTGGCCTCTATGAGCTAAGGTGATGGCTTCTCACATGAGTCTTCAAGACACCTAATATCTGGATGGGAAGCTTCTTTTAAATGCAAACCTGAATGGAAATCATTGTTAGAGCCAAAAAAAGGGAAGAAAGGACCACACTAAACCGGATCAGAAAAAGCCAGAGGAAGGACACATTCATTAAATTGAACTACTCATCGAGCTCTGCTCTAGGCATTTTAACAAGACATTTCATTCTGAGAACCACTCATGTTATCTTCTGTTTTTGAAAGATGGGGAAACCAGGGCTGGGAGACCTATAGCTGGCCCAGGATCACACAGCTAGGAAGTGGTGAGATCCAAGGCTGGTGCTGCTGTCGCATAGATGGCAGTGGGCAGGGCCTGGTTAGCAACACACTCAGGTAACTCTCTACAGCTACTAGGATTTCACCCTCCAGGCCCTGACAGGTAGCGCAACTCCACCATGCCCCACAGAGCAGGGTGGTGTGAGTGCTGTGGAAGGCAGCTACATGGCTGCCCAGACCCCTCAAAATTCTGCCCAGAGGACTGTGCCTACAGCCTCAAGAGGCAGGATTCTAAATCTCACACCACCATGTAGCCAGATGAACATGTCCTCATATGCTACATGGTGGTGTGGGACTCAGAAGCCCCCTCTGGACAACTGTCCTGATTCCCTTTCTGCTTTCACACTCCCACTCTCATGCACGTCCTGAACCACAACTCTGTTCTCGTCTTCAAGGGCTTTCCTCAGCAGCAGGATGGAGAAGAAAAGACAGAAGGGAGTGCTCAGAAAGAACCACAGGGCTTAGAAAGAGGAGCTGAAGATGAAAATGGTGGATGGGCAGACACAGGATTTAGGGAGAAAGGTCACAGGGGAATACAGATTTAGGAGACACACGCTAAGAAAAGCCAACAAAGTGGAAGACTGAACGTTCTTCAGAGAAGCAGAAGCAAAATGAGGCAGTAGAGTCCAAAAGAGCCTACCAGGCTTGGCAGCCATCGTCCCTGGGCTGGTAAGACCTCACGGTACTAAATTAACTTAACCTAGGACTCAGCCAACTTCTGTAAGGAGCTTAAAAAGGAATGACATACTTTTGCTTCTCTGAACCAGGTTGAGCTTACACATCTTTATAGCTCCCTAAGAGAGATGTAAATTGAGCAGACCTGAGCGTCGGCTGTGCTGCCTGACCATGTGTGCTTTCATGCTATGCTTGGAGGCAAAGAGTCTGTTACAGCTGGAGACCGGGCAACGGCTTTTTGGAGCACGCACATCCTGTAGGTGTTTCTTGGAGTGAATGTAGAGACTACTACGAGCAGAGAATCTGGCACAGCACCCTGGAACAAAAAAAAAATGACTGTTAAACCTGCAGATTACCAAGGAACCAGTGCTGATATTTCCTCATCACATCAGAATCATGACACAATGTATGTCTATGGTTTGGGCATCAGCAAGAAACATATACCCAATACCCCTTGGGGCAGCATCACAAAGAATTAAATTTAAAAGCAAATTGTTCTTAAAAGGAGACTTGAAGTCCCCCATCAGTTGTGTACAAGATGTGTGACCTTGGACAAGTTACAGCAGAGCAGAAGGGTATGCAGGCTGAGGGAGCTGCCAAGCTGAGCTTGTTCCTTCACCTACTACAAAGGGCTGCTGGAAAGATTAAGTGTTAAACAACTCCTTAAACACTCAATTGCTAAAAATTCATACTAATCATCTCTGTTAAGCTACTACTATAAAAACCACAATCCTAAAACATTTAAAGTTCAAAGCTATCTAGATAACAACAGATCACCAAGGCCAATTCCTCTCATTATACCAATGAGAAACTGATGCCCAGAGGGATCAAGCAAAAGGCCTTAAGTCAGGGGCATGAGCAAGGCCTGGAGCTGGCATTGCCTTGCTGACTACTCAACTGCTTAGCCAGGTAAGACCACATACCTGCATGTGAGTCAGAGAGAAAACAAGACATTCAAAAATACAGGTGCCTTCCTTCAGGCCTTGATTGTCCACTGTTCGAGTTCTGTACTACAGGGACAGAAGGGGAAGTGGGGTTCTTGGCAGCTACAAGCTAATGACTTGGTAGGGACATGTAAGCAGCCAGCTGTCATAACAAAGGGGGAATAAAACCAGCTCTAGTGCCATGAAGCGTGTTAGAAGCAGAAGAAACAGTACACCCTCTTGAGAGTATAGAGAAAAGGTCTCAGGAAGCAGGTAGCTTGTGGCCCTCCACAAGTGGTAGGGGCCAGACACAGTAGAGCAGAAGGGCATCCAAGTAGGGGGAGCTGCCAAGGCCATGAAGAATAGCAGGGCCAGGAGAGAGCCTGCTCTCCAGAGCTAGCATGACTGGATCCCAATTCTAGCCCAGCTTCCTATTAGCATGTGGCTGTATTTATCCTTTCGGGATCTCCTTTTTCTTTTCTGTAGAGATGACATCCACCTCACAGGGGTTAGGAGGAGGAATACATGAACTATTACCAACTTACAGAGTACTCACACAGTCCTAACAAAGCAGAAACAAGCATCGCTACACTACGGTACCTCTCAGGGTGACAAAGTGGAGTTGCTGGAGCCCAGGGCCAGGAGGAGGGCTGTTTTAGAAAAAGAAGCTATAAAGACAAGATATAGCCAGATGAATAAGGGCTTTGACTGCTCTGGGAGGAGTTTTTAACTTACTTCATTTTCAAACAAAGCTTCAAACTTGTTTCCTGGTCAGGCTTATGACAGAACATTTGGAAAACACAACAGACACTACAGATCTCACCCTTGGAAACCCATTCTAAGATGCCTGCTTTGCTCCACGTGTGCAGGGCAGTATCCTCTATCTGCCATGTCCCTGACCCCCGATTCCAGCTGAGAGTCCTAAGCACAAATTTCTAGAGGCAGCTCACAACGTAAAAGTACTGAATACATTTTGCAATCAAACTGCTTTCCCAAGGACGGTAGTGGTCAGTCACAATGGGGACCACTGCTACACTCTCGCCAGGAGTGAGTTTCCATTTTTTTAAAATATTTGCTAATTCAACAAGGAACAAAATATATTTCATTTTAATTTGTATTTCCTTTGATGACCAGGAGTGTGACCATTTTTTCATGTTAACAGCTTCCTTTTCCTAATTGCAACATTACCTATTGAAATTTGTGCCAGTTCTTTACGAACCAAAGATATTAATAAACAGCAACATCAAGTCATTTATGTCAAGTCACCCCACCCAGGGAAGGGGGCAAAGCAGCCCATCAATGACAACCTTTCCTCCAAACCCTCAACTCCACAGGCATCTGCTCAGCTCACATCATCATTTACATGGTGACCACACAAACATCTACGAACCTCGACTCCATGTGAGACAGTCTGCAATATACTAGACACCATCACACATGCCCTGGGAAAAGCTCCCATCCCGCACACTACATTGTCCTCCCTCTTCCACCTGCCCTCCCTCATACATGCTCGCTGCCAATGGCCCTATCCTCTCCTCCTATTACCATGGAAAAGGTGGATGGTGGTGGTTTTTAACTTTTTCTTATGGAACATTTCAAACATCTACAAAAGCAAAGTGAATGTATAATCACCCAGGTTCAAAAATTAGCAACTCTCACCCAATCCGAAAGAGGGCTCTGGAATCCCTTCACCAAGCTCCTGCCTTCATTGCCACTCTTGGAGGAGAGCACTCTCAACCAGCTACTGCTCTACTGCCTCTCTCCCTCTACCCGTGCCTCAATATCTGAACTTGCTCAAAGCTCTCAAAGATATAGTTACCAAAGGCAAAAACAAAACAGCTCTCTTCTATAATCAGCAACTACCCTTTCCTCTTTCCTTCAAACACCTCTAGAAGAGGGACAACACAAGCATCCTCAGCCTCACCTTAGCCCACCTCTCAGGCACCAGAGCGCACCTCTGCCCCAGCTACTCCACTGAACCTCGCTCCATAAGCAGGGAAGTGTGCTGGAAACAGAAGAAACAGCACACCTTCTTGAGATGACTCTGCCTGCCAGAGAAGTCCCTGTACATTGTTCACCATCCCTCTGCACCGTGGCACTCAGGACTGACTCCTTTCCCAAACCTCCTCCCTTGGCCTCAGTGCCACAAACTCTACCACTCTCGTTGTTTCTTCTTAGGCTCCTCCCAGAGTCCCCTTCTACTTTTCCACCTAAATTTGTGGCAGTCCCCTGGATCTTGCCCTAGGCCTTCTTTTATTTAACCACAATTTTAAGAACCACAGTAAGTGATATTTTCTAATGGTTTCTATATGCCTTAACTAAACTTATCAACTAATCAAACCTTCACAACAACCCTATGAGGTCTTATTACCACTTTACAGATGAGGAAAAGAGGCACAGAGAGCTTGAGCTGCTTGTCCAAAATCAGAGCTACTAAAGTGGAAGACCTGGGATGTGAATCCAGGCAGTTTGACTCCAACATTCACGCTTTTAATCATTAAACTGCCTCTCTTCGATATACAATTAACCCTTGAATAATGCAGGGATTTAGGTGCACCGACCTCCTGCCTAGTCGAAAATCCACATCCATGACTAGTCATTCTCCCTGAGTACACAGATTCCCAACCACAGACTTGACCCTTGAACAACATGAGTTTGAACTGCGTGGGTCAACTGTACTGCAGTCAACTGAAAAAAAATCTGCATGTAAGTGGACCCATGCAGTTCAAACTTGTGTTATTCAAGGATCAATTATACACTGTTCCTTGAGAATTACATCTATTTCCATGGCTTAAATAATTATTGTTGTGCCTCCTGCCTCACTCCAGCACACCTACTCACCAAGCCCCAAGAGTACAGCCCCCTGCTCTGAGCATCTGAACTTGGAAAACCCGTGGGTACCTAAAATGCAGTATATCCAAACCAAACTCTTCTTCCTCCAACCACGTGCCCTGTGTACCCCCACTAAACTGATACTGACACCAACAACTGCCTCTCCCACACCCCCACCTCCCAAATCCCTCGCCAAACACTGTTAATTCTAACTCCTATCTCTTCCGTCCATGCCTTCTCTCTCTTCCCATTGCCAAACCCCAGTCCAGACAGACCCCAGACCATCTTCGTAGGAAGCCAGACTGATCCTAAACTCACATATGATCCCAATGCTCTCCTTCCCTAAGCACTCAAGAGCCTGCTGCTCCTGCAGTTCTGGGAAACTTCCCAACACTGGTCCTTCCGCCACCCCCATCCCTGACTAGCTCTTTCTCACTCTTCAGCTAACTGGAAAGCCATTCCCACGCCCCATGACTTCGAACAGTTTGGGTGACCTCCTTTGTGCCCTAACAGCACCCTGCCTATTAGCTGTCTAGCTACCATACCCCCACTGAGCTCTGTATTATATTCATCACCTTCTAGGAACTGATTTCAGTTTCAAATGGGCCTTTATTAACTCCTTTTCCAAGTAAGAAAACTGAGGCCCGGAAAAGTTTGCCTGAGGTCACCAACTTAGGGAGGGGTAGAGACAGGATTTGAATACACAACTATAGCTTGACCTGGCTCTGCCACCTTCAGTGCTTCTGCAGCACTAGAGTAGGGCCAGCACAGCCTAGTCACACAGCACTTTTAGTGAATGAATCATGCCTTCGGTGTTTTGGAGAGGAAAAAAAAATTCCCTTATACCGTTTTTAGAAAGCCAGTCTAGCTTTGCTACCATCCAATCACAGCATAAGTGGCATCCATTTACTGAGTCCATGATATGTGCCAGATGCTAAAACAGGCATTTTTCACTTGTGTTTTACCTAATCCTCACAATCACCAAATTAAACAGGTAACAAACTAGAACTACAGATCTAGTGAGTGCACTGCAGGGCCAGAAGTCAAACTGGGTCTGATTATGAAGTCTTTTCTTTCCAATACACTGCTCCCAAGATAGAGCAATTAACTAAAAAGCAGCCAAGTATATCTAATGCTACAACTTACACTTGCCTTAACTTTAAGCAAATAAAACTTACCTTTAACAACATCAATGTGGACATGGTGCTAGTTTACAGCTCAAAGTAACATATTAAAATCTACCTTCCACAGGACATTCGAATGGCTTTGTGCCCAGATGGGTGATGCTGTGGCCTTTCAGATGCTCTGCTCTCGTGAATGACTTCCCACAGCCTTCAACAGGGCAGGTAAACCTCCGGTCATCATCATGTTTCCTGCCAGAACAGAAAAACAGGGCACTGTGATTACTCGCACAACCCGGAGGCACCAGGCCTCAGAGGTGGATTCTTCGTTTAAAATTCTGCAAGATATATCAAACTACAAACTCTTTGCATTTGAAAAAAAATTATCAGTACACAACAGAACATCTTAATTGTGTCTCTAGCCCACATGGGCAGATTTGCAGTTTACCTACCCTGCACATAGAAATTGTACTTTAACAACTTGACTGACTCCAGAGTCTGACACAGAACAATCAATGCAGCTTCAGTCTAGCAACAGCTGAGTCCCAATGTACTGAAGAAGCTACTTCCACCGTCTAGGAATCCAAATAAACAAGGTTTCTAACCCACCAAAGGCAATGAGAAGTATGCACGGAAAATCCACAGCTTTGCTAATACGACCTTCTCAAGCCCACTCATAAATACTGTCTTTCCTTTAGTAATGTTTTTATATTAAACCCCTCAAACCCCAGCTGTGCAAGCACAGACAAACCACACAACCTCTTGAGTCTCAATGCAAAACAGGGGAGAATAAGAACATCAGAGGCAGAGTTGTTATGGAAATTAAACGAGATACATATGCAAGTGCTGAATATCACCTATGCATACAAGCTAAGTCTTCCAAGTCATCATTATCACCATGGAAAGAAACCACTGATGCGACACATGTTAATTTTCTTAAAAATATCAAATTGTATATAAAGTATACCAATTAAATTTAAAAACAAGTATACTGACTTAAGGTAATCAGATTCTCAGTAGTTTTCTTCTATTACCTTTCTGAATTTTCCAAATCATTTACATTGGGCTTTTCTTATAACTTAAAAAAATCTACAGACATTTCATAGACTCCTGCTACTGACAAACAATTCACTCATTTTCAAAACTGATAATTCAACCAAAATGTAAAGATTACCTTTTGTGCCTCAGGAGTTTAGACATGCTGGTAAAGGTCCAGCCACAACTGTCAGAGTCACAAATAAAGGGTCTTTCACCTTAGAAAAGAAAAAGTTATACCACATAATTATAAATGCAAACTACTACAAAGACAAATAGTGGGTCCAAGTGACATTGAGTTCTCTAGCTCATTACCTGTATGACTTCTCAGATGAATTTTCAGGCGACAGGCTTTGTCATACTGTTTGCTGCAGCCAGGAAAGGAGCAGGAAAAAAGCTCCTGTTCCCTGAAGTGGGCACGGTTATGGGAAAACAAAGCACTCACCGTGATGAAAGTCTTCTCACAGCCTAAACAAAGAAAATACAAACCCGTTCATTGGTGTAGTTAAACTCACAGAACAGTTACACTAGCCACTACCCAGGGCACTGCTGGCACTGAAGCAGACAAGGAAGAAACTGATTCAGAAGCATCTCTGGAAAGTTAAGACCACTGACGTCTGGCTTTGTAATAGCTAGAATAGGGATAGCTAAGAGCAGCCAACAAGCACATACGGCCCACCTGTTTTGATGTAACTTAGAAATGAAGGACCTAATCAAGGGAAAGTCCTTCGATAACAGCTCCTACTTCTGATCTTGCATACATTTGTGAACTCAGATGTCAATGCTACCCATGTGAGACCCAAGAAAACCCAAAGAGAAATTACATATCAAAGAACAGACCTTGTTAGGGTTAAGCTTGGAAGGGCCACAAACCATCGTATCTGAGACTTTTTTTACCCCTTGGGGAGATGTTGCATCCTCTACACTTATAAATATCCTTCCCGACAACCTCTGCAAATGGCAGCTGTCATTACTGTCATCTGCCTTTCCTTTTTTCCTTTCGCCCATTTCCTCAGGGTTCCCTGCTCTGTCAAAAAAGTTACCAGGGTCATCTTCCCTAGCGTGATCTTTTCCATCACCTCCATCTTCAGCCCTCAGTTGAGCCACCAGCCAAAGGAGCCTGTCTGGGCAATTCCCAGACTTTCCACACAAATAGCTCTCCTTTGACAAAAACATTCAGTGCTCAAATAGGGTGGAAAATATCAGTTTGCGAGATGCTAATCAGGTGTCTTTGTTGCAGCTCTTCTCAGAGCCTTCAATATGTTACCATAGAGCTTGTAAATCACCCAGCTGATACTGTACAGCATCACAAAAAAAGTAATCCTGTTCTTCCTGGCAATACTGAACTGGGAAATGCCAATCTCCCTAAATGTCTTAAAACCATCCTCTGCACCATAACTCTGCGCCCCCCGCCCCAGCAATTTCCATTTTGGGCTTTGGAGTAGTCACACACTTGGTCAGGTAAATCTGAGCATGCTGAATCTCTGTCTACTCAAGAATCACCTTCCCATGGACAATGCAGCCCTCTGATTCTGCCTCTGCATCTTTCCTACTTGGAGCCTCACCATTTCCACTGCCACTGCCTAGATCAGTCCTCAGGAGATTCATATCAGGAACTTTTCATGGGGCTTCAGTGATCCCTATTCTGCTTTTACAAATTTCAAACACTGATCGCCCAGCTCAAAACCCTCAGAAAGACCTCATGCCTTAAAGCAGGATGGATACCTAATCTTCCTGGTATAATATTCAGAATCATGCTCTCTGTGCATTCTACTAGGGAACAGTCTTTAAGCTACTGTCAGATCCCCAGAGTATGACTGAAAAAGGTTTCCAATCAGTGGCCGTGTTCTCCACGAAGAGGGATACACAAGACAATCTACAGCATGTAAGACGAAAATATTGGAACCTATTAGTATGTTTTTAACTTCGCTCTTTCAAAATCCTTAGAGTTGAGTATTATTTCATAACATATATATTAGGAGAGCAACGCATATATATAACATGTCAATATACAGAGGGGCTCATGCTAGGCTCACGCCTGCCATTTTGTTTTAATGAAAGAGTGGTGGAAGGTCCTTCACCCTCCGCCTGACCCTCCCATACCCTCACCACAGCCCACATTCCCTGTCTTGGCTTTGTAGTTTTACCCACCAGCACTGCCTTCTACCCAAGCCAACTGCTTCCCAGACAAAAATCTTCTCTTCCTCCCTGGAGGCACTGTCTCTCTCACAGCACTTAACCTGCCTTTACTGGTGAAAAGTTCATAGTGTTGAAGCCTTATTTCCCCGCTGCAGGCAATCACAGTGAAGAACCACCACTGGATTTTTTTTCACATTACTTCATCTTTAAAATGAGGAAAATTTTTAGAACTTCACAAAACTGTGAAGACCAAAGAAAATTATAAAAGGCACAAAAACTGTGCTACACTATTTTAAGGTCCTGCATCTGGCCATTCATCTGTTTTCCTACAGCACCGAGTGTGTATCCCGTAAATAATATTTCTAAATGATAAGACCGAAGAAAATAAAGACCTGACTCATAACAAATCTCTGGGAAATGAGTTATTTCTTTCATTAACCGGAAGCGTATTCAGAGTGACCATGGGGAAGGACGGCAGTGATTATTTGTGCTACCACGCTGTGGAAATCCCGCAGCAACGCAGGGTTAAAACGCAGGGAAGAACTAGAACACAAACACAACAGTGCTTCCGTTCCCGCCCCTCGTACTTGGCCCACCGAGTTTAAATCCTGCCCAAGAGAGCGGCCAGAGGCAGGGCGCCGCCGCGCCCACTCTGAGCGACTGAATTTAGACCTGGGGCCTCGGGAGCCCCTCGGAGCCCGCCCCACGGGCCCGCGGTTACCGGGAAAGTCACACTTGTAGGGCCGCTCGGGTTCGAAGTGGCTGCGCTGGTGGGAGCTGAGCTTGGCCTGCGTAGGGAAGCGCTCCGCGCACTCCTCGCACTTGAACAAGTTCTCCTGCTCGTGGCCCTTCATGTGCGCCTTGAGGTTGTACACAGTGGTGAACTTCTTGCCGCAGCCGCCAACTTGACAGCTGAAAGGCCGCAGCTTGTCGTGCGACTGCAGGTGCCGCTTGAGCTTGTAGGAGGTGGTGAAGGCCCAGCCGCAGCCGTCCAGGGGGCACTTGAAAGGCCGCCGGCCCTGGCTGCTACCGTGCGTCAGCAGGTGCACCTTGAGCTGGTGCTTCTTGGCGAAAGAGAGCGTGCACTGAGGCTCAGGGCAGCGGTAGCCCGGCACGCCGGGGCCCGGGGG